GACAAACATAAAAATGGGAGATAAGGACGATAGGACGTTTGATAGGAAAGAAGAAGCAAACCACACTAGAGCACCTGCAAACCACACTAGAGCACCTGCAAACCACCCACTCCACCCCACCCCCCTTGTCTTGCGTGATACTAACTCAGCTTAAAAGAAGCAACTAAAGGGGTTTTATCTCCCAGAAAAAAAAGGTTGAATATAGACCAAGCTGTGCGATATAACATAATAATGTACACATGACTCGAAAGACTAATCTGAAATGGTTTACACTACAACTGCGGTGGCTGGGGAGTACTCTGGTATAGTTCTTACCTATCAAAAATTCATTGTCTTCATCTTTCCTCCTACTTTATTCATTTGTTACTCTCTTGGTACACCTCTTATCTTCGGCACGCTCATGATCTAAATGTGTTTCAAGTGCCGTAAAACTCTTACTAAACAACAATAAAAGTTATGCACTGACCAGCACCATCCCTCAGATATATCAAACAGAATCAAATAAGGATTTAACCAAGCGTTCTTCTATGTGCATCAAACTCTTACTAAAACTAAATAAATAAACAAACAGCAACAACAACAGCCCCCAAAAAACAACAACCCCCCTCCCCCCAACAACAAGCAACAAACCAACTAAAACCAAACAAACAAAATATAACCACCCCCCACCCTCTAACCCCCCACCCCAACAAACACAACTACAACACAATCGGTACAATTCACACCATTCAAGTACATGTAGCTGACTGCTTGACTTCGCGTGACCTCCTTAATCTTACCTCGCTGTTCGTCTGCATTCTCGCAGCTGTGTTGACCGTGTCCCCGAACAGGCAGTACTGTGGCGTCCGTTTACCCACAATCCCCGCCACAACGCTGCCGCTGTGCATACCTGACATGTCGGACAACAACGACAATATATATTATATAGTTGGCAGCTTGGAAACACATATTATGTCACTTTCCCTATAAAACTACGACAGCTACAGATTTGAAAGTTGGCAAGTACCTGCCAAAAGATATAGGCTCTGCTAATTAGGATACAAACCGCCAACGTCAACGGTATATTTAAAACGTTTTCGTGAATGACGTCTTGGTGAATGTAAGTGGCCTCCACAAAGAGTGGAAATCCAGGATAATTGTACCAGATATAACAAGTTCCTAAAACAGGGCTTAGGTGAATTTTTAACCGTTCATAGTGCCCGTTCCAACACTTCCAGATTATTTAAAAGGCGGTATCTCCAATTTAAAATCCATCTTACACAGGATGAAGCCTGAAAGGTTGATAGTTAAGACCCTCTACCCACCCCCCCCCCAACTACACATACACCATTTCCATAAACTACCTGTCCCACTTCCTGATTAAACTTTGGTGCCGGCTCTTGTTAGGTTACCTACAAAATGTGTCAATATAAGGAAATCCGAAGCAATGACAATGATGATGATGATGATGATGATGATGATGATGATGATGATGATGATGATGATAATGATGATGATAATGATGATGATGATGATGATGGTGGTGGTGGTGGTGGTCAGTTATGACTCACAGAGGCGTACAGAGGAAAGCCATGGCAGTAATCGTTATGCTTTAAAAAATGCAGCAAATAATGGAAACAAAAAAAATTGTTTGTACGATCAAAACTGTCAAAGACTGGTCGCTTTTCAGGACTAGCGGGCTAACCCGGATTTCGGGGGTTTCCAGAAATCTTGACCTATACCAAAAGTCAAAAGAGGGCTTAGCCCTACCCAAAGGAGAGGTTTGGTTTCATTAGTGTGTATATTTGTTTGGTTATATAGAAAAGTCTCCTTGTCATTTAAAGAAACTGAACAACGGGCAAAAACCCTACCTTCGATTTTCTCAAAACAGCACTTTTCGGGATCGCCCCCTTGTGCTTAAAAGGGACCAATTATAGAGAACATCTAATCCACTGACCTA